AGAAAGGAAAATGGGTTTCTTTTCTTATATATATTGTTGTGTGCGTACGGATTCGTTTGAATTGAATGCACAAGTCGATGAAAAATGGACAAAATTTATTACTATCACAACAAAAATTTCCTCAGATATTCTTTCAGAATTACAATATCTAACAGTAGTTATCTTAACTACTCAAACGTTCAACAGAAGTTAATTCAAAACAGCTAAAGAAAGCTAATCCGCTACAATCAACAAGAGCAATTTTCTAAACAAACTCTTAAAACAACGATGAGCTAACTAAAGTAACGGTACTACTTTGGTAGACGGTTGCACGGTTTTTGGGGATTTTTTGGCGAGTAATACGACTTATGGTAAACCCATTGCTGGATAAGTTATTTATGGTAACCGATACATTGTTGTCATTTTATTTAAAAAATGATGTGGTTTATTATGCATAATTTCAGTGTTTTAAATATTATTTATGGCTTCTAAATATTAAAAATCAATTTAATATTGCATTTTTATTTGAAATAAAAATTTTTTTGTTTATGATATTTTATGAAATTTTATTTTGTGGATGATGAATGTCACCTTACTTTAAAAGTAATTAGTTTTAATATCTATAAACTTAATCTAATGTTTTAAACATTATTTATGGCTGTTAAATATTAAAATAAAATTTAATTTTGCATTTTTTTAAAAAATGTTTTATTATGAATCATTATTTAAATAATTTTAATTCTATGCATGATGTAATCAGCTCCCTGATTGGTTACTGAATATTTGTGCATTACTGCGCCATTTTAAAATTTTATTATTATCTCTTCGAATTCCTCAGATTTCAAAGCGAATGGATATGTCCGTTTCGAAGATTAATGTTGTTATTGGTAATTACCAAGAATTATTGGTATCAGAATAAAAAAATTGCCCTTTGAGACCTTATTTTGGCCAACCTGGCTTTCCTAATCCAAGATTTATTTATAAATTGTAACAAAGAATCAGAGAAAATTTATTTAAAATTTTTGGAGGAAACCTCGCTAACTGCTTCTTCAATGAAGTGCGAGAGATGTGGATGTGAGATGAAGGGTTATTTTTTTTATTTATTTTTTTTGTGGTACTTATCAAAATACGACAGGTAAAATACTTTAAAAAAATGTAAGTACATATTTTTATTTTACTTTATAATTGTATACTTCAATTTTTATTAAAAGAATTGTTTTTAAAAATTCCTGAGATATTTATTGCCACATATGTTTTAATGTTAAATAATTATATCCTATAAAACGCATTTTAAAGTATTTGAATTTAACTAATATTTTAATTCTTTTAAACGTTGGTATGATGTTTTTTAATACGATATTCAATTTAAAGTAATATTTAATCCAATTAAATGTTGGGTGCAATGTTTTTTATAGCGGTTTGTTTTTATTCTCTATTATATGAAAGTAATAATTAACACTTATTCTTAGTAAATGTATTTATTTACATTTGCCAGCCATCTTAAAAAACAACGTTTTCAACAAAACATTAATCCATTATTTTTAACGATATTTATTTTTTTAAAGTTTCGAATACTTTACTATGCGTGAAATACGTAAAAACAGCATTTTTCAAGATGGCTGATGACTGTAAAAACTGCGCCAAGAATTGCGCCAATGTAAATCGCCAAAAATTCGTGCAACCGTCTACCAAAGTAGCACCAAAATAACAACGAACTGAGAGGTTTTCCTCCTTACGATTTTTAATCGCGCGCGAGAATTTTCTGGAGCTTTCTCGAAATCAAAAAGAGATATTTATTTATTTATTAAATGTTAAATGCACGTGCTCTTGTATTCGGCTTAGCTTTCCTTTAATATTCATCACGCGCTGTACTACACGGGAAATAAAACTATTTTAATTTATAATTCAACTAACATTAGCTATTTAAATACCAAATCCGTAACACTGCCCCCTTCCCAAGGACTGTACGTCCCGGGCAGTACAATCCCTGGACAGAAAGCGAAACTTACAACTATGGCATAAATGCAGTACTATGCATTATGTTACAATGACAAACAACATGAACAGTAAATGCAATAACAACTTTAAACAAATAAATCAAATCATAATACAAATAAAATAAATACACATTTAGAAACAAAAAGGACCGTGGTCTTACACTATTTACAATTATTTACACTTCTTACTATGGCCATAGTAATGCGCTAACCTGTCGTAATGAACGACTTTAGGTTTAGAGTTCGAAGACTCACGGATCTGAACCACGACGTCATTCAGCCTGTTTAGTACTGTGTGTGGACCATCCCAAGGTGACTGTAATTCACGCCTGACTGCTTTTCGTTGAATCGGGTTCCACAACCCCACCTTGTCTCCTTTGTTGAATCTATGTCCAGTAGCTCTCTTGTTGTATCTGGTCCTTCACTTTCTCCATCGCCAAGTTGACTTGCTTTTGTGTGGAACGGTGCATCACTTGAAACCGGGCCTGGACATCATGGATGTATTCCTCAGGCGATGAAGGCGCATTCGTATGGCGATCAAACAGGCGGTCACAAGGCAGACGATGCAGGGGCATAGTTAGAGGGGGGCAAGAGGGGGCAACTGTCCCCGGGTGCAGAATCCAAGGGGCGGCAAACTGATGTTACGACATTTTAGAATTAAATGTTTTCCATCCTTGGCAAGCAGTAGGGGGCGCGAAATCTTCAGTTGTCCCTGGGCGCTGAAAACCCTAGCTACGACTCTGAGACGATGGTCTCGACCGAAGAGCATCTGAGATGGAGAATAGCCGGTAGTCTGGTGTTATAATTTCGGCCGCTTTCTGAGTAGGGTCTTTCACACGAAACGTCGGCGTTTCCAGGCGATGATCCGTTTTGGAGATGGATCGTCATGTCCTCAGATACTGAGAACAGTTTATTGTTTCTGAAGTCTAAGGAAAAATTATATTTCATTAAAAAGTCCAATCCAAGTATGCATGGATCTGTAATATTTGCCACATATGTGTGATGGTAGGCGGCACTTCCAAACATGATGTTCACGTTTAACTTCCCAGCTATGTCGATCTTATCATCAGATGCAGTCTGAAGGGTAACACAGGACGGCGTCCAAATAAGTTTATCTTTAAACTGTTCAGCTAAATCTTTCCTAATGATGGTAACATTAGCTCTTGTGTCAATGATCATATTTGCCTTTTATCACCAAAATTAGTTAAAATGTATTATAAACATAGACACATGAGTACAACAGATAATATATAATAGACACAAAGTACTGCTAAATATAGGTACACAGAATAATGCACAATACAAAAAATAAGAGTAAAGAATTAAAAAAAAATTTTTTAAAGTAAATATATACACTATTTACAAAATTTAAGGGGCCGTTTCTTATTCACATTACTGACAGGGTCATAGTAAGGAATAGGGATAGTGGGATTATGCACATTGCTAATGGTAAGCTCACGGTGTATGACCATGTTTCTTATGAACCAGCGGCCTTTAGCCACTTCACTAAGAACAACATTTCGTAACACTTGAATCTTTTTAATAGCCGTAGGGCAGGCACAAGTAATCACGGGTCGCAAAATGGTCTTATAGATCAGCAACTTGCATTCTAGAGATAACGCCAAGTTCCGAGCAATTAAGGGGGAAAGTGTACTTTTACGTACTCGAAACTTAGAGATAATATGTGGGGTCCATGTGAGTTGGTCATCTAAAATAACGCCAATGTAGTGGGTATGCTTAGTCCAGGGGATTGATTCTCCAAACATTTGGAGCTGAACATCCATGTTGATACCCTTTTTTCTTCTGGTGAACAGGATGGCATCCGATTTTTCTACATTAATTTGTATCTTATAATTGTTTCTTAATCTTCGAATTGGATAAGGCTTATTATTTTTTGCAGACAGTTAGAGAAATTTTATAAAAGTAAGCTTAAACTTTCGATTATATCAAATAGAATTTCCGATATACATTTGTTAATGTGTAAAGGATCTAAAGCGAAAGTATGTTTTGAAATCCGAAATCTGTTTACCAATTTCACGCTGCTCGGCGGGGGGAACGCCGCGGTGGGTGCCTAATGAATTGGAAGTTGATCTGTCAGCACTATCCTTATCTTCAGCGCAGATGTTTTTATTTTATTTGGCTTATAATTCCTTACCAAATGTAGTAGTATTTCATCTCGATATGCTCTCGTCTTTGATATGATTTAAAAACAAGTTCCTCGTCATTATAATTCGCTTCGTTCCGATAGCGAAGAAAAGTAGTAACAGTAAAAGAGGTTATTGAAAATGAAAAAAATTTCGATTGACAAATTAGGTCGGTGTTCTCGACACAGCAATTATAGGACTTGAACAGCGGAATTTTGTAACTGAACAAGAAATTATGTCTGTTTAAATAGAAATTAAAGAGAAAGTATTATCACATGAAACGAGGCAAAACTTAAAACAACTTACATTGAAAGAAAGAAAGTTTAATAAAGTAAAGTAAACAAATAAATATTAAGCTTTTTCTTTTTGCAAATTTTGATACCCTTTAATCGTAATTGTTCTTTATATCATAAATTATGGTTTCATATTTTTAATTTTAGAATTTCTGCATGCCATCTTACGAGATTTAAACTGATGATCTATAATCCGGAAAAATCGATAATACGGAATCGCCGAAGTCCCGATGAGTCCGGATTAATGACTTTTGACTGTGTTATGAACCCATATGCATGCAACAATGCTTTAGATCTTCCGGGTGAAAGCAAATGATTTTCAACGGTAACCTGAAGAGGCTACTGGTAATCCATAGTCTGTAGATCATTAAAGGACGTAAGTTCATAGTAGAAAAAAAGACTGCTGATGCTTAAAACAATTCCTTTCTAATCATGTGATATTTCAGCAATATCTAGCAAAGCCAGGAAATGCTCACAAATTTTGAGAAAAATTGCAATTTTGCTTTAGTTAAACATTTTGTACTGCAATAAATAGAAACATGCTGTTGATTAAAAATATCAATCATGGCACACGAATACTAACAATATGATGAATCATTTTTTGATTTTATTAAATACTTTTCAACAATAAATGGTACATAATGCTTTGCAAAATTGACTTAAGTTAAATGAAAATCTGATTTATGTCATAAATACTTTTGAAAATACTAACATCATTATCCAATAAAAATACACTTTTTAATGCATATAAAATAATAAAGAAACTCAAAATCTTTATAACAAATTTTCTGATTCTCGAATACTAATGCGTTTAAAATTCTGAGAGTGACCAGTATTTGTCATCTTATTCAGTACAAATGCACTTTAATCTATAACAAAAGTACACACACTTAAAAATCTCATATGGTCATCATTTGATTTAATTATTAGTCAGAATCTTCAGGTTCACCAGTATTTGTCTTGATTAATTTCCACTCTTCTGCTTTTTTCAAGGCTGATGTAGCTAGATCTTTAACTTTTGGAGGTACGTCATCTACCTCTGGTCTTGTGAGAGCCATTAAAATTTCCAATAAATTGGTTTCTATTATTTTTTCAGCACAACTTTTACTAGCATGAATGAGGCTGTGAACAATAGCAACACCTCTGTGGCACAGTTCTTTATCTGCACTTGCTGTCAGCTTACATAATATTTCTAGCCATGCTTTTGTCTGTAAAATAAAATAATTGTTATAATAAAAATAGAACATAAATAAAACAAATATGTTAACTGAAATATAATACTACTGCATTTTATCTAGTATTTTCTCTTCTGTGGAATAAGTAAAATTTATGAATATATTTTAAGTTATATAATTGAAGAGAGATTATTTAACACATCTGAAGCATGTTTTTAAATTTAGGGATTTTTTAAAACTCTTTAATGATTTTTTTTTTAAACTTAAAGCAAATTCTACACTTTGTGCAACAATCATTAAGGTTTATTTATCAAAATATACTTTTATGGGAATGCCTCATATATTCAGAGGATATGTGAAGAGAATTGAAAGCAAAGGAAATATTAAACAATTAAAAATGGCTAACTATTTCAAAAGCCAGTTTCACTATGTTTCAGGTTTTTATCAATTTACATTTTTCATTAGAATTATTAATCCCTGACTTAAGTAATTAATAAAGCTAATGAAGATAGCCTAATATTAATAAGAAATGCTGTGTAACTAACTGAAATATGTAACCATAACACGTCAACCTATTGTAATACACAATCGAATAGGTGTGATGATATGGATTCTTCTTTTCTTTCATCATAACTTTTAATGCATTTAAACAAATCATAGTTTAGTAGCAACTAGATGAGTGTTTTATGCCATTAGTGATATTTTCCCTATATTTTGGTATCAGAAGATTAAAAATTCTTGCCCCATATACTTATGTTTTGTAACTATGAAAATAATGATACTAACTTCTTTGAAATTCATCTTTGATTTATTCATAATTTAACTGCTAAATTAGCAGCCATTAAAAAGTGAAATGAACAACAATCTACCAAACCACTAATAACAAAAAAGAAAACTATACTGGCACATGTCCGTTACCGGATTCATTGCTAGGCAATAACAGTGAAGGAGAAAGTTTTCGCTTAGCAGACTGTCAGGCGCCAATAGTGTATCTCCTAATATCAATGGCTAAGGATTATGAACTTTGCAGAATTTCCACAGTGATTACAGGTGAGAATTTTACTTTTATAACTTTTGTTTTGGGTGTAACATTCTTTAAAGTATAAAAACATGGCTTATGAAAAAAATGTTGAAACATTAACATAAAAATGATCTATTGAGCGAGCCAATACTATGAAACTTACTTCTAAAATTGATATTGCTCCAACAGATGAAAATGTGACATAATAATCAAGCTATACATACTCATTTTGGAATTCAAAATTATTGATTGATATGATTCACTTACAAAAATTAAAAATTTGCCTATTTAAAAACATAATCTGACTGGAGGAGCATTAACTATATTATCTGGTTTACAAATAACTGACAAAATTTATGAAAACTGTGTAATATTACTTAATTACACTTAATGTTACTTAATTAATATTAGTTAAAGGTCTTTTCAGTCCTAAAGTTATGACCATTGGTTATTTTATGAATGAAATTTTAAACTTGCAAACTGTTAATAATTTCTTCATATATTCCAGCTTTAAGAAAGTTCTATGATGAGCTCAATATCGCTAAACAAAACAAAGTGTACATTAAATACAAGAGGATCTATGGTCTACTTTTGCTTTTGATTGTCCTAAATTTGCTGTCAAAAAATATTGTCTTAAATTTTAAGGAAAAGAAAAATTTTAAATGTGAGATTAAATGTCAAGAATCAATAGCTTTATGTTGTTTCTGAGATGTTGTAATTGTTAAATTTAAAGTGTCTTTTCCCTCGCTAGAGGTTCCATTAGTAAGAGAAATCAAAACTTTGTTTTTATTATTCTTTTCGTAGAGAGTCCGGTTTCGAATCAGTGTGATGGACAGATAAATTGTTTCGTACAGCCATAAAAGAAAAAGAGAGGCTGTATAAGAAAATGTATTTAAATATTATTTTTTTCCTTTTGAATGTTTTATGTAAATAAAATGTGATGTCAAGAAATCGAATTGTGGTGTTTCTGTAAAGAAGATTGCCAGCTGAAACATCACGTCAGATTCAACAATGCATCAGAAAAGGTAAATGAATTTAGTTCTTGTTTTTTAATCAGTTATATATAAATAGAACCTGCATATGTCAGTGGATTCTGACAACTTCAATCAACAGTAGTTGATTAATTATGTAATATAATAAAGTTTTTGGCTAAATTTTATGCTGACAAATTCACAGACTCAAATGTTCATCTTGTGGAAATTTCAGTTATAAATCTCTCTAAACTAAAACTAAACTCAGTGGCGTAACAGCACTAATGGGTCAAGGCCTGCAATGCCCAAAATCTGCTTTCTTGACCGTGGGCCCAGGGGTAAGCATATGCTCTGAACAAGTGCTCAGCTTGCCACAGGACCCTCAGTGTTTAGTCCCCAAACAAACTTAATACTCATTTTATCGACCTAAGCGATGGAAATCATGGGATGAAAGGCTGAGTTGAACTTGCCCAGCCCGGCAATCAAACCCCGGACCTGTGCTGCTGCTGCACGATGCGCTAGCCACTAATCGTCCACTTAACCGACAAGACATTTAGCCCACAAGGACACTTAGCCGACATAGACACTTAGCCAACAGGACATTTAGCTGACAAGAAAACTTAGCCGACACAGACAACTAGGACTAGGACTACACCATTGTGCAAAATTACTTGTTTATTAAGGATTTGCGGTGTAGTCTATGTGGTATCTTATAGCTATTGCCACTAACTCTATTGACACCGTACAATAAGCGAGGAGGAGGCCAGACGAGGGCCCCTGGGGAGTACTCTTAGCGGTAATCCCTTCGGAATCTACACATCCTAACGCGCCCAACTGGGAGGCTCTAGCGAGATTTTATTTTTAGATATAAACAAAAATAGGATTACAACTGTTCAAAGAGCTCCCCCACCTCTTTTGCAATCTGTTCACGGAAGGGAAGATTTGAACTTACAAGGAGAGAGTACATAGATTATTCCAGTCAAAAGATAGCTTTTGGCGGGTACTCTAAGTGTAGCTGCAAACGGTCAAGTAGTGGAGTGCATCTCCTGTGCCCTGTCCGCAGCTGCAGCTGCTAGTCGAGCTCAATCCAAACCTTGCAAAGTACTGAGGACATCTTCCGTGCCCTGTGATTAGCTGATTGACATAATGGTTGCCATAAAGTGCTCCAGTCTCAACGTTGCTGATACTAATTCAGAAGTCAAACAACAAAAATCAGCGTTATATTTTCAAAATTTTCACAGGACTAGTTTTGATGGTTTTACTGAACCACCATCCTCAGCTGCAAAACCGCAAATGAACAAGATAGGAAATAATGATTAGATAAGATAAGAAAGCCTGGATGAGAATAAGCAAGTGGCGCCACCTGTCCATAGCTTGTTGATACACTGGAATGTCAAGCGTCCAGTATCGGTGGACTCCTATCAAACTTGCCATTGGCGCATGACCGATTCCCTCAGACAGCGCTTAAACCTTGAAACTGGGATGGGAAGGACAAAGTCAATCTCATCCCTATAGGTGGCGCTTTTTGCAAGATCTTCGGCTAGTTCATTGCTGAAGTAGCCTACATGTTCCTTGATCCACCTAAAGTTTACCGTTTGAATATTGCGAGTTTCTCGATACAAGTTCTTGACCGAGTTTACAAGGGGATGATGATGGTTTGGGTTTGAAAGCGCACAAAGTGTCGGCAAACTATCAGTGTAGATAGTTGTAGAAGTTTCCCTTCGGAACTTAATATACCATTCCAAATGCAAACAGCTCGGCTTGAAAAACCGAGTTACGATCTCCTAATCTGCATTCCTTTCGAAATTTAATTCATATTCCCTGACGAGAAATTTCAGCACTTTTTCAATTTGGCCAATATACCAAACAGCACGATAGATATCAAAGAATGCTAAATTAACACAATAATTAAAAGCACATATGAGATCTTTAGGACTCGAAAACTGAATTTTACTGATAGTAAAAAAATAACTTAAATATTGAACTTATGGGGAAGTCGAGAAATTTTGTAATCCATAGTAAGTTCGAAAAATTATTGAGTACGTGTCAGCTAAACTTCACTGTTCGCTTAGTGTACTGTTAACTAAATGTCTTGACAGTTAAGTGTCCCATAGCTAAATGTCCTGATGGCTAACTCTCCATGTCGGCTAACTGTTCGTTTCGGCTAAATGTCCTGTCGGTTAAGTGTCTGCGACCGTTATAAATCTCTCATAACTGTTAAAAAACCCAGGAAAAAATGCTGAAAAAACCAACAACACTGTGAACAGTTGAAAAAAGAGCACTTTTAATTTATTGCATCAAATTTAAAAGTAATCCATATTAATGATATACAACTTACAGCTCTTATTGATACTGAAAGTGAAGCTACAGTTATCAGAAACAATATTTATACATAATTAGGACATTTTTCTTTAAGTCTATTTCATAATATGTTGACTGGTTTCGGTAATGACAAAATTAAAACAATGGGTTACCGTACAAGTGGCATTTTAATAGGTATGGAAGCATTTACGAATACAGTCAAAAGTCGTTAATTCGGACCTCAAAGCTAAAAACTTTCTGCGCATGCACCGCGTTTACGCGTGCGTGTAAGACCTTTATGACTGCGCATTTGCGTGTGCGCAAGCACAGAATATGTTTTCGCGTGCGCGTGTAATGTATAACGGACGGTATAAGCTAAAATTATCTAATTATCTATTTCAGTTAATGTTAATGATTGCGTTGTTCCTTAATCTTCGAATCGGATCCGGCTTATTATTTTTTGCAGACTGTAAGAGCAATTTTATAAAAGTAAGCTTGAACTTACGATTATGTCAAATAGAATTTCCGATGTTGGAGCTTGCAAAGGATCTACAAAAACGAAAGTATGTTTCGATGTCCATCAAACAAAAAGTTTAATTGCTGCAAAAAATGGATAAAGACATGAAAAATGTGACAGAGAGGTTAGTGAAAACGAAAAAATTTCGATTGACAAGTTAGTCGGTATTCTCGGCGCAGCAATTAACGGGACTTGAGCAGCGGAACTTTGTAACTGAACAAGA